CAATGGTTCTAACATATAATTTTTATTATTTTTACTCATTATTTTAAAAAACGTCTTGAAAAATTAAATTATACTCCTAAATATTAGTATAGAATGGTCACCATAAAAAGTAATTAAATCAAACTAGCTGAGATCGGACCCGTAAAAATACGGGTCTTTATAAGTCTATTCCAAACCAAACTTTTTAATACCTTTTCCTTATATATCCTAGCTTTTCGAATCCGTAAAATACAGGTCTTTACCGACCCTACTATTTCTATACATACCTATTCCACACTGATTATTTCTATACCTATTCCTTATTTACTTCAATACTTTTAAGTAAAATAATTTTGTTCTGAAAAACTACTTTAAGAGCAGAAAATTATATAAACTATAAAACGCTATGGAATCGCCCACAATTACGCAATGCTAAATTTATTTTTCAAAAAGTAGAAGAGATCTTCAGTTCTTTAGGATGACGATTTTCATTAAACTTAATAAGCTCTAAAAATTTAAATCATTTTTATTTTCTTCAATTGTGAAATTTAACGTTGAGTAATTTTTGGACGTTCTCTTATTTTAAAGTTTAGATAAAGGATAAGCCAAAAAGTATATAAAGCCAAAAAATAATAGAGTATAATATTATTTTAATGGTTATCTAAATTGTGTTGTCATCGCACACTTGGTTTTGTATGTTTAACGGGGGTGTGAATTAATAGCTGTATAACTCTAAATTTCCTTATTATATTAATATTAAATATAAAAGTTAAACTTTAACTTTTAATTATTTTTAGAAGTATTAAGTTTAATATAATGGTTTCATTTAAATATAAAATTAGAATTTTTTTAATTATGTTTTTTATAAAAAAACATATATTTTTAATCCCCGTACTGTTTTGAAAAACTTAAGGTTGCCGCGTGACAAGTTCAAATCATCAACTTGCTTTATTTTTAATTTTTGTTGTCGTGACTACAAATGTATTCCAAACCGACCTTTTCTATACTAAATCTATACCTCAATATATTTGAGTAAGAGGTAGGAAAATAACTATAAAAAAACTATACTCATTGTTTTAATTTTTGAGCCATAAAAAAAATTCTATCGTAAATAATTTAAAAAAATATTAGATGATTTAAATATGTGGAACAACGGACATACCATGAGCAGTTTAATACTGGTCATGGTAAGTCTATTCCACACCAACCGAAATAACTTCTCTTTATTTCAATAATTTTTAAAGAGATAAATATAAAAATCTTTGTTTTGATATAACCATAAATGTTCAATACTTCATAAATTCAACAAATTTCTATAAAAAAAAAAACGGGACTGCGGTTATTTTTTTCTTTAATAAGTCTTTAATTTTTTTTCGAATCTGCAGCTTATTAGGATTCTTGCCGTTTTAAAGAAAAAATTTAATTTTAAAGAAAAATCATTTTTTCTTTAAAATTAACAGGGCATGTAAAATATTTTTCTATAAGAAATAAAATTGTCCCTTTAATGCACAGACTTAACTAATAAAGTAAACACATTAACAACTTAAGTACTGTGACATATGCTCAACAAATTTTTAACGGTGTAATCATGTTTTTAGAAATTTTAAAAAACTTTGTAAAAAATTCTCTCCCTTTCATTTATTATAGTATATAATATCTTGATATATGTTATGCATATATCAATAGGCCTTTGAAAATGTTTTATTTTGTATTCTAGAAAATTAGAAAAGACTTTAAAAAAGTTATGTGTAAACGAAAGGATTTGAACCCATGCGAAGCACTTTAACCACTTTGTTTGTAAGTAATAGATACCACGTTTTTGGTATCTATTACTTACTCTCCTCCGTTACATATGTATATATATAAAAAGGTGGGGGATGCTTTTGCCCTAAATTTGAACCCACACCATGTGGGGAATGTGAGCCCTCGATTCGTTCTTCAAAATGCTAAAAAAGCATTGTAAGATGTCTAAAATGAAACAAAATTAAATTAAATAATGGCATGAAAAAAGCTGAGATCAGCCCCGTAAAAATACAAGTCTTTGTATATCTAATCCAAACCAAACTTTTCCTTATATATTCTAGCTTTCCGGATCCGTAAAATACAGGTCTTTACCAATTTACATACCAATTTTCTATCCGAAAATTTCTATACCTATTCCTTATTTACTTCAATATTTTTTAGTATAATAATTTATTCTGAAAAAAAATTTAAGAGCAAAAAACTAAACATGCGCACCTTTTCCGCATACCTAGAGCTTATAAGATACTTATAATTAGCTTTGTTTTTCTGCTAAATGCATTTCATTGATAGCTCAGTGATTAAGTGCGCTGTCATCAGTGCTGTTTTGAAAAGTTTAAGACCTCCTCTTAGCGTAATAAGTTTTGAAATTTTTTTCTATCTTGCTTATATATTTATAGCAAAAAAATAATATTATAGCAAAAAAGATTTTGAAAATTTAAAATAAAATTTTAAAGTTTTCTCATTTTATAGATATATAAGATAATATGTAAGATAAAATAAAAATTTAAAATAAAATTTTTAAGTTTTCTCATTTTGTAGATATATAGATAGACACAATTATTCCAAATAATGCTAAAGACATTTACACTTACAGACGTTTGTAAGTAACGATAAATACTAAGAAGATCTTAGAGCACTAAAACTTGGTCATTAAAAAAAATTCATTCTTATGATTATGATTAAGAACTAAAGAATTCAACGCTAATCTAAAAGTTAAGCCAAAAAGATTTTGCTCATTGACGTCAGTTTGTGGCAAAATAAACCTTTATGCGTCCAGTTTCCTTTTGCATTTATCTAACATTTTTTTTAATAATTTAGCAGTAGTAGGACTTACAGTAGCAGGACTTTCTTATTTATTTAATATAGTTTTTTCTTTATTAAGTTTCAGACAACTTTTTTTTCAGATCATCCGCAGCTTATTAGGACTAATTACCTGAGTACAATAGTAACATAAGTTCTCAATCATCATACATACGCAACAATTTTTTTCTCCTGGTGATGTTTTTTTTTTAGCTTTCTTAAAATCTTTTCTTTTTTAAGTGCATAATATCGTTACGTTACATATGTTTGTTTATAATCTTTATAAAACTTCAAAATTATTTCTTGGTGGCTATTCTTTTTAATTTTTTTTAATTAAAATAATTTTAAAAAATTAAAAAGAATAGCCGCCATTGGTAGGAGTCGAATCTTTAGTTCCTTGATCAGAAGTTCGACGCCTTATCCACTCGAACTACACCGGCATATTATATGATGTAGATTTTATAAAGATTTACTAATTTTTTTGAAGAAAAAAATGTTATAGATCAAAATTAAGGAGAGCTTGATGCAATGTAATTTTCAAGTGAAAATCAAACTGTAATACATGATAAATGTTTCAGTATGTTTTGACATATGCTTTAACATTACTTACTTTAAAGTTTACGTACTTTAGATATTCGTCCACGTTTTCTTATAGTGCTGCGACTCTTTCTTGCTAATACCTCGGTTGTAATGGCTGCCAAGGGTTTCATGTCAAATACGCTCCAAGGGACACTACTACTACTATTAAGTTTGGCAATATTATATAGATAATGCAATTTAAATATCAATTAAATATTTTTTAATGTTATAATCGTCTTTTAATTAAAATTTTAACCACTAAATGGTATGCTAAGCAATGACATCTATTGATTTAAATTTATTACTATTTTTAGAAATAAACTTTAGACTAATAACCTGATCTGTGGTATTATTCAAAATCATTCAAGTCTTACACCTTTGTCAGTTTGTAAAAGTTTTGTTCAGCTAAAATCTGGGATTATTGTTTTGATGTTGTAATCAAAACACTGTGTATGGCAGAAAAATGTATCAGCATTTATTTCCTTTACCAAACAAAGCTTACAAAAATACTTTTTACTGTCACGTTCTTCACTCGTTAACTATAATGTTTTTATGCCAGAGATAAGTTAAACGTTTTCTTTTTTAACTTTAAAACTGATGTTATCCAAATTTTTGAACAGTCAACCTATTACACAAGAATTATCAATATTAACCTTAGTATTTTTAATCTTTCTTTTCATCATCACTGGTATAATATTCTAAATTCTAAATTTTGATTCACAATGATTTGTTGCAGTTATTGTCTATTTATCATTGATAATAAATCCAAAGTTAAATTTAAAAATGGAAAACAACTAATTTTTTCTGTTATAAAAGTATTCAAATTTCAATGTGCTTTTTTGTCACTGTCAACCAAAAATCAGAGCTTGGCTTTTTTATTTTTAATTTGATGTTTATCGATACAAATACATATATATACAAGAAGAAAAATATGTCCAAAAAATTCTTAAAAGACAGAAAAATCCTATCACCGAGCATCGTTTTGTACATAAAATATATAATAAAATTATATTAAAAACTGTAATCGTAAAGAATAATAATAAACCACAAAACCAATAATAATAATGATGAAAAACCCCAATAACATAATAATAATGTTCACTGTGCTAACAAGATAATCTAAAACAAAAAAATGAAAAAAAGATACAAATGACTTCAGAGTAACTTGAGATGTTAATCAAGTTTAAAATTTTGTTTGTTTTTAACAAAAAAAATTTTGTTTGTTTAAATAAACTTAACAGCTTTACCATACATTATAAGAACATTGAATAGCAGTGGCCAGTCCGCCACTGATTGTAATAATATAATAACATTGGCCAGTCTGCCAATGATTGTAAGAATATAAGAACATAGGCCAGTCAGCCACTGATTTTAAAAATATAAGAACATTATATAGCAAAATGTTTCATGGAAATTATCTAAAACAAAAACAAAAAATAAATTAGCTTAACTTGCACACTTTCAATAAATTTTTTATAAAATAGTTTAGGTTGCCCTTATCACTATCATGGAAGTTAATATGTATAGTTTTTCTTAATCATTTATAATTACCATTTATAAACATCATAACTGTTTATTTATTATTTAAATAAATTTGTTTTAATATTCTATTACTTTAGTCAAAAGCAGTTGAAATAATTTCACAGAAAATGGTAACAGATCTTCCTTCTTCATTTAATGGAAGTTTACTCAGTATTGGAGGTTACGATATGGCCAAAAAAGCAGCACAGGATTGTTTTGCAGACTCTGGATTATCAATTCATGATATTGATATAATTGAGTTGCATGATTGCTTTGCTTGCAATGAGGTTGATTTTATTTTTATAACAAATTTATAATTAAGTTGTAATAATGAAGAAAAATCATCTTTCATTACCATAATGAAGAAAAATCATATTTCATTAACATAATGAAGAGAAATTATCTTTCATTACCATAATGAAGAGAAATCATTTTTTATTACCATTATATAAGTAAAAACAGTGGTACATTACAATGTAGTATTATAATATAAAGACTTTTTAAATATTATTTTTAATATAAAAAATATTATTTTTAATATAAATGACATTTGTTTAATTATTAATTATTAAATTTTTTTCTATTATAAGCAATAAAGGTTCTCTTTTCTACTAGTAATTTGTTTAGTATAAAACGAATATTTTTTGCACATTAGGTCAACGCTGTGAGGCAAAAGCCATTGTTCTTGGCATATCAAAAGCTTACTGTAAAGTATGGTCTATATAGCCTATTTTAAAAAGTCTGTTAAAGTATAAAGATATCAAACATTAATTCTGAATTCTTAATATTTAGTATCTAAAATATTTATTTATTTTATTATCAAGAATATATGGCTTAGAGTACAAATATTGCAAATTGCTGTAAAAAACTTTTATCATTGAGCAAAATGGAAAAAAAAAGAAATAGCTCTGCTGCATAAAGATGTTTTTAGAAAAAGGCCTAATTTTCTTAATAAAGATCAAGAAATTAATATGATAAGTAAACTTCCTCCATAATTATTACATATATTTATAGGATTTTTTTTTTATATTCTCAGCAATTCTCAGTCTTTGTTCTTTGAACAAACTTTAATCTGTGGCTTAAATTGTGGCTGTCTGGAAAATAAATCCTAGACATGGTTATCATGGAAAAGGGTTTGAGTAATCTGTAACAAGATATAATTTTGGAAATCTAGACGTTGCATTTCTGTATGTCTACAATTAGTACCTATTATTACAAGGCTCGAAAATATTTGGTGTATGTTGTGACTGCACTGGTGATTGTCTTGTTTTTAAAGTCAAGTATTCTATTGCTTTTGTTTCTAAAGTCAAGTATTCTATTGCTTATGTTTCTAAAGTCAAGTATTCTATTGCTTTTATTTCTAAAGTCAAGTATTCTATTGCTAGATTGAAAGACTCTTTAATTAATAGAGTTTGTAAAAGTAATTACTAGCTACTTATAACATCAAAGATCCTCATTATGTAGGCTCACATATCTTTTTCTCAAAAAGAAAATCAATGTGGTACAATCAAGTTTGCAAAACAAAATGAAGCAATTCACAAAAGCAATTCACTCCACATTTAAACCAACTTTGGCAAAATATAAAGGAGTTGTAAATAATAAGGTCGTAGAGAATTTGGCTGAAGCAGTTTTGAACTTCTCATCAAAATGAAGATAACTAATTAACTTATAAACATTTTTTTCAAATACAACCATGTTTGCTGCTGTTATATACTATCATCTTTTGTTTATCTTCCAAAGTTGAATCTTGTGCATTTTTTTGTTTTGTTTACATATGCAACCATGTTTGCTGCTAACATAAACTATTATCTCTTGCTTCATCTACAAAAGTTGAATCTTGTGTTTGTTTGTTTTTTCCCACAAAAACAACCATGTTTGTTGTTGATATATACTATCATCTCTTGTTTCGTATACAAAAATTGAGTTTTGTATATATATATTTTTTGTGTAAACAGAAGTATTTTGGGGTTTCTCACATTTTTGATGGGGTTGTTTTACATTGATTTATATATTTTACAGTTTTTTAAGTAGTTTGTTTTTGCTCTTTAACTATCTACTTTTTTTCAAAACACAGTTGAATTAGTTATTTTCTAGTAAATTGAATTAGTTATTTTCTAGTAAATCACATTTTAAAAAATTTCACAAAATCCTAATGCTTAAAGTAATAAAAGTCTTTTTTAATTTTAGATGTTTTTATATGAAGCTTTGGGATTATGCAAAGAAGGAGAGGGAGGGTTGTTGATTGATAATTCCAAATGGATAGAAAACTCTAATGGTATGAGTGAATTGTTATTTTTAAATAAAATATAACATATATTACCTTTTGATTTATCGGATCATTGTGTACTGTCTAAAAATAGTTAACTTTTATACAGAATGTTCTTAAAGTTATGTGTAGCGTATATACTTAATTATATTTTATCTATTATATGATGAAGCATACTTTAAAAAAATAAGTTTAAGATTAGATATTAACGACAGTTGAGTTATCTTCCACCAAGTTGACAAATTAGTATAACTTTTAGTTTAAATATTGTTGAAACTTTAAAACCTTGGGAATCAAATATAATAATTGGCTGCATTTATCGTTATCCCTCAATGAATCAACATGAGTTTAACTCCTCTACTTGAAAAGTTAAGTAACAAAAAAAAAAGATTTTTCTATTGCATGATTTTAATATGGATTTATTAAGTCACAATGAATCTAACCCTGTTTCTTCTGATGGCAGACATGTTATTACAGTTATTTTCTTCTGATGGCAGACATATTATTACATGGAACATGCTAACTTTTACCATGTTGGTCAAAACACTTTATTTTGAAAATGGTCACATACAAGAAGTCAAAGTTGTAAACCCTTCATTGAGCAATCTCTGTAAATGTTATGATAATTACATTCTGATTACGCGCTCCAATAGACAACTGAAGGTTTTTTATTATTATTAATTGCAGGGATGAGAAGTTCCATCGATTATTTGGGAATCCGAGCTCAAAAATCATGGACTCCATGGGCTCTGGACTCCGGAATAATTTTTTTTTTTTCCATTTAAATATGGGGTTTTTATTATCTGGAACTTTTACGCAAAAATTCCGGACAAATGAGAGGGTACCAATTATTTTTTCTCTTATGAATTATATATATGTTTATTTTATGTACCCTAAGAAGATTATATATATGTTTATTTTATGTACCCTAAGAAGTCCTTACAAAATTCACTCCTACTTCCTAACCGATGTCGCAAAACCAAAGGTGGGATTGAACCACGGATCCTTTCTTTTTTTAGGAAAGTGCGCTACCACTGCGCCACGGCTGCTTAAATCCAAAAGTTTATTTGTTCCGCTTTTGCTGGATCGTATTAATTTATAAGAACAATACAACTCCAAAGATTTATTTGATTTGTATTGTCGCACGCACAGATTTTTCAGATTATTTAAAACCACATGATCATAAAATTATAAAAAGATTTAAATGCTTATTTGCATTAATTACACGCTAAATTATAAAGTTACAAGGACAAAATATTACAATATTTATATCATCAAAAAATGTTCAAATAAAAAACTCGTTTGTTCGTAAAAAAAGCATATCATCAATTAAATCAGATGTAAATCGACCACAATGGTCTGGTGTCATGTGCTTTAAGACTGAAAACAGACGCTCGACACTGACTTGGGATATGGGTAGCGATAAAGCGACACGGCAGACATCCCGTACAACTTCAGGGAACTGTTCAATTGATTTTAATGGGTTAAGTTTTAAAAACTCGTTTAAGTTGGATGATTTGTCTTTAAACATTGAACGGATTTCTGGAATTGTTTTTAGAGCTAGTCAAAACTCCTTTTCGATTACATCGAGTTAAACCTGCATTTGTTCTTCTGAAGAATTTTCTTGAACCTCCTGTTCACACAACTTAAATAAATTTGGTCGACACTTGCAACTGGTGAAGCATTCTCCTCATTTTCTGAACTAGAGTCTGACACATAAACTACAAAAGAGTTGCGCTCTACTGCTTTTTTGGTTTTATTGAGTTCATTATTCTTATTTTCATTAGCGAGTTGAATCAGTTTGTAATCTATTTTCCAAAATTCATCAGCTGTAGTTATCTATAGAAGTATTTATATTTTTTGCAATATGTATTTATTAAATTTAATAAATAAATATATATAAATAAAATTTTATTAAAAAAACAACATTGTCTTCAGTAGCTGTTAGCATACAGCCATGCCTAATATCAACGTAAACTGCTGCAAGAAACAACTGATTTTCACGTAGCGCGCTTTCTCTATTATCCATTCCTTTTTGGAAATTTTTGGCTACTGTCCTTCCCGTCAAGTTCACACTTTATTGAATTCCAATCAAAAAGAAATTCGCCTGCGGTGATATTTTCACGTTGAAGACAAATAGTAAGATCGCGTGCCATATGCAATACATCTCTCAATTCCTTCCACATACCCCAAAAACATAGTTGCACATTAAATTCTTTAGGAGCCTCTTTTTGCATATTTAGATTTTGAATTACTGGTCGAATCTAGAAGAACAGAAAAATTCATTAAATATATGTACAAAGTTATTAACTACTTAAATAAAGAGGATTATTAAAGAAATATTTGCATAAACTAACATTTAAAAATTATTAAGTAGTATAAATGTCATTACCATTGAAATAATTGAATTTATATTATACCGGTTAGAAAACTGGTTTATACACTTTGATTAAAACTTCGAAGTTATAACTTATAACTTACCTTAATTAGCCTCTCAAGCATATTGAACTGGCTAGACCAACAAGTAGCCTGATCTAAAATTGGAATGAGATGTGGAGTCTGGTCCCTGAAGAAGTCAATCCACTTTGAATTTCTTGCAGTTTTGACAACATCTCTGGCATTGTTAATTAGGTTTTTTATTGTCAGCTTTTTCAGTGCATCATTTACGGCTTGCTTTAAAGTGTGGACAGCACATCTTTGAAAATGTATAGCACTCATGCTACTGGCAACTCCACTTGCCAAGACTGCTGCCGCATTGTCTGCTTTAGAATAACCATCTTTGTCAAATTCATCATTTTCTAATGAAAAATTGTCTTCATCTTTTACAATTTCCTCAATGGCGCTGATGCTAAAGTCGCACACCTACTTTATATTCACCTAAAGATATTAAACATGATTTCAATAGTTAGTTTAAAGTTTAGTGAATGTACCTTACAGTATACAAAAGATTTTATCAAAATAGTTTATTTTTTAAATGATTTTATGGATAATAATAACTTTAATCACATAATTTAAAATTTTTTTCATTAACAAAAAATATAGTGAATTTCAAAATATGTTACTCACTGCTGCGTTGTCAACACTGAGGACTAAAATATTAGTTTTATTGATTCCAAACTTATCTAAACACTTCTCAATAATTTTTTTTGTGTATTCCGCCGTTTGTTTTCCCTTCGTATCAATGGTGCCAAAAAATAAAACATATAATTGTTTTATTTTTTTTTTTAATCAAAAAATAATTACTAACGAAAAAATAAATTGAACCTGGAATAAAAGACCTTCAACCAAAACCAGCTGGTTTAAGACTTCTAAAAACTCATCTTTTGTAATATGCAAACTAATTTGCTGTGGTACAAAACATTTTAATATGGATTGCTGTGAAGTGCTGCCTTTGATGGGTGTATATTTTTGCTTCTTATTCTTTTCTTCTGTTTTTTTTTTTCTAATTTTTCTTTTACTAACATAATGAGGAGCTCCGCATATTTTCTAGATAAGTGTTGTATAAGTTTGCTAATGCGAGCTTTTGCGGCACATCTAATTTCTTTACCGCGTAACTCGTTACTTTTACTTTTTTTGGGTACAAGACATTTGAAGCATACTTCTTTGCATCCATTCAAAATTTTATTTGTATGATGAAAGTATTTGAAGCATAGTTAGTGGCCATTACTGGTCAAGATTGTTACACGGGAGTTAATAGCAAATATTATTATAAAGAAAGAATGTTGTTGTTGCAAGTTATTGTGAACATGTAAAGTATTTTCTTCGTGTTATATATGCTTCTCAAAATTAATTTTTTGTAAAACAACCCACAAAAGCATAGTTAGGAAAGCTGTTATAATGACTAGTTATGAATCGATGGCGTTAGTAGTTTTTCTGTAAAAGAAATTGCTGCACAAAATAATTTTTATTTATTTGTTGAGGTATTTTTATAAACTTTTTTTGGGTTCTTTCTGACCTAGATCGTACGTTTTTTGCCAACTGTCTAGATCGTTAGCTTGATTTTATAGCGCAAACTCACAAACAAATTTGTTTTTTTATTGCATATAATTAATTTGCTAGTGAAATTTGATAGCTTTTTGTATCTAAACCATATTGCTTTCATTGCAATTTTTCATTAGGCGTTATTAAAATGAAGTTTTTTATTTTCTAAACAGTAGACTTTTTATTTTCTTAGACAGAGTCACGCTTGAAATTAAAAGAAATAAAAAGATTTTTTTTTTCTAATAGTATATACAAGCTTCATTTATTTATAAGTATTGTTTCCCACTATAGTTTACAATTTTAAACAGTGCTTAAACAAAGTAAAAAAATATATCGACAATTTGTTGTAAAGAACTTGACTTTGGTAAAATATTTGTCTAGTTAATCATTTTAATTGACCTTCTTTCTATGATCAATCTAAAATATTAAAGATAACGAAAAAACTTATGCATAAAAGCAACTTCAACACTAAAACATAATTTACTTCTAAATTTGATAAATATTAAAAAAAAGTTAAACAACTAAGCATTCAAACATATGCTTATCTGCAGGTCTAGCCAGTGGCGGTTTTGTGAATAAAATAAAAAGAATGAATCCTTCAAAAGTGACAAATGTCTTATAAAAAATATTTAAGTGTAAGTTAAAAATTAACTTCCTCTCTTTTTAGGAAAATTGTCCCTGGGCCTCGAAATTTAATGATGAGGAAATACTTAAATAAACAGTTAATCATAAGTACTTTCTTAATGGGATAAAAAACTGTTTTAAAACAAATAAATAAACAAAAATTGTTAGACATAAAATGAACATAATTTGCGAATAAAAGTTTATTAACTTAATATAAAACTTAACACTAAGTATGATGAAATTTTTAAAGTTAAAACAATTTATTTTTTTTAATTAATTTTAACAAAAAAAAAATATTAAACAGTTTCTTTAACAAAAAAACTATTAGATCATAATTGCAGTTAAATGCTTTTACTTACAACATTATATTTTCTGAATAAACGTCACATCAACGATATCAAAATAAAAATTAAATATTCTAAAAAATGAAAGTTTTCTCTTAACGTTAAACTGCTGAACGCGTAGGCACATGGCCTTTTCGCACGTAAAATGCGAGCTTGGTAACGCCTCTTAACAAGGCGTAACATTCGAACTGATACTCAATCTGAGTATTGGTTCGAATTGGTAAGGAAGGAGATGAGCTTTCCAGTCAAATGCTTGTTTACAGTGATTTGTGACAAGACTTTAGGTATTTCTTAAGCATATTAATATTTTATATTATTATTATTAATAACTATAAAAAAAAAAGAGTCCAAGAGTCCTAAAATTTTTATGGACTCCGGAGACTCCGGACTCCGGGCAAAAATAGGGATTCCATAAACTCCAAGTCCGGACTTCGCATCCCTGATTAATTGTTTAATTAAATTTCAAAATAGTTTTAGAAAAAGTGCACAGTAGCCCAAGAAAATTTTAAGACATTTAATAAATAAAATTTATTCTCAAATTTAATTTGGCTGATTATTACCTATTTTTCTAGTGATAGAATAATTTTTTCTTGGTTACAAAGTAACCAAGAAAACTTAAGTGGTAAAAAATTTTAAGTAAAGTAAAAAATAAGCTTAGACATTAAATCATTACATTCATCATTGTTATTTTTTTGGACAGGAAATCTTTGTTTTTACTGCTTTTGGCTACTTGCACCGTCAAAGCTGTAGAACTTTGCCTCTCATTTCATTTTCGGCTATATAAATACTATCGGGATAACACTTTTTTTTGTCGCAAATGTTATATATATTTGCATTGCACTTTAATTAGTTATTTCGCATAATTTGATATTGCGTCTTCGATAAATTCATAGCTGTCATTAATGCTAATTCCTCTAGTGGCGTATTAGGTACAATTTGCTTGTTTTTGTCAACATTTTATACAACATTTTATTTCATTTGCCAAACCTTTTACACCCATCAGTATGGATTTTGTGCTAAACACTCCACAACTCATGCTCTCATTAAAATGACTGAACTAATTAGAAAAGCACTTGATGATAAACATTTTGCATGTGGTGTATTTTTCAATTTACAGAAAGTGTTTGACACAGTGGATCATTAATTTTGTTGAAAAAATTAGAATATTATGGGATCAGAGGCGTACCGCTTAAATGGTTTACTACATATTTAAACGATAGAACACAGTTTGTTTCTATTAATGACTCAAAATCTATCCTTGTAAAATGTTTTAATGGTGTTCCTCAGGGTTCAGTATTGGGACCACTGCTTTTTCTTCTTTATATTAATGATCTTCATACATTCATTAAGTTTGCTACTGTTTACCACTTTGCTGATGATATTAATCTAATGCTAATTAATAAATCCCTTAAAAAATTAACAAACACAATAACCATGATTTTGCCAATCTAGTTCAGTAGCTTTCAAAATTATTCATTTTCAGAATATTAAATTTAATCCTAATGTGCTCTACCTAACTTCTAAAATATTAAAACTATAACTATATTCGCCTTTTAAATTGTCAATTTGTCTGGAACCACCAACACAATATGCTTTGTGTTGGTGGTTCCAACACAAAGCATATTGTGTTAAACACCTTTAACTTTCATTAGTTTCTTTTCCAAAAGTGCTAACACTCGTTATCACCTTTGTTCCAATAGTAATTTAAACCTGTCTGTCTCTAAACACCGCTCTCATAATTACGGGCATAAATCTATAAAATATCAAAGCACTAAAACTTGGAACAACCTTCCTTATAAACTAAAAGCTCTCAATTCATTCTCAACCTTTAAAACCAGTTTATTCTACTATTAAAAAAGTATATTTAATATTTATAATTTCTATAATCAATTTTTGTTGCCTTTAGTATTTTTATTTTTTTTAATTTCTATTTTATATTTTTTTTTTGCTTATTGTTGTTTTTATTAATATTAACTATTAATAACTACTTTTAACTTTTATTATTACTAATATTAATATTGTTGTTATTGTTATTATTATTATTATTATTATTATTATTATTGCTATTAATATTATTAATATTATTAACATCATTATTTTTATGTTATAAAGTTTATTATCGTTATTATATATTGTGAAAATTAGCATTATATTTATTTTAATTAGATATTATTAACATTAGTACTTGTTTACTTTATATTAGTAAATTTACCATTTGTAAACATCCTTGCATGTAAAAACTTGCATGTAAAAACTTCCTTGCATGTAAAATTCAGAAATAAATGATTGATTAAAATGATTGATTGATTGTACTATACAAATCTTTTGTACCAGATAATTGCTATATTATATCAGATTTTTGCTACACTATACCAGAAATTGCTATATTATACCAGACACTATGAATTATTCCTTTAAATATTATTACTTTAATTAAAAAAGCAAGAAAAAATTTCTTAGAAGCCAAAAAAATCTCTTTAGGCAGTCATAATTAATCAATTTAATAAGTAAATTATTAAATTGATTATGACAATTATTTATTTCTACTTAAAAAAATTTCCTGAAAATGTTTTTTAAAATTGAAAAAAATACATGCTAAAAGATTTGGAACACCTTTTTGATAAGTTAGAAATTTTGAAAATATGAATGCATTGTCTATACCAATTGACAGAAATCCCAATAACATATAAGCAAATGTTATGCTTGGCTAAGTATATATATAAATATATATGCAAATGTTATTTGCTCTACCACTACCATTTTAACTGATCTAAAACCCTTGTTCATGTATATTTTATGTAGGCCTCCCCCAAAAAATGTCTGGTTAAAGCTAGTGACCAGATAGGCCAATTAGAATCACTCTATCTGGAGAAATGCTTAAAGGTAGAAATTGGCTGCACTATGGGATAAGATATATGGTTTCAACAGGACACATGGTCTTGTTGAAACCCTAGTTTTTGCAGTCTTAATTGACTTATTTTAGACACAAAAAACGTTTAATCATTAGTCTGGGTGTGTTGGTGAGCGTAACTGAATTATCTTTATCATTTTTGGCTTGATCCTCAATTTTATTTTAATTATTTTGTCTATTTTCTAATAAACATATCTGTGATAAAAATCAAAACAATCAGATTATTTTTAAACAAGTTATAAACAAAAATCAGATAGTGACGTTGTTGTTTTTTGACGTTAAACAAGTTATAAGCTAAAATAGTGACGTTTAGGATCTGTTTATTTCAATATTTGTTTAAAAGTTTCTTTTTTTATTTCCTGTTGTGATAAAACATGACGTACTTTATAAGTATTTGACTTAGGTGGTAAGTTATGTCAACTTGGTAGTAGATGGTATGTTAACACTGATGGTGGATTGGAATCTAAAGGTACAATTATTTTTTTGGTCTGAATTAAGTCGTAAGTAAATTTATCATTATGTGGTGATGCTCACACAAAAAAAACAAAAGTGAAACTTTTGTTTTTTTGTGTGAGCAGTCCGCTTACACTAAAAATTGTATGTTTGTATGTGAAGGTTTCCACACAGTAAAAATTACTTCCACTTAGTAAATGTAGACACTTGAATTTTATTAGTGCAACAAAAAAGGCCATCATTCCGACGTTTATACATAATATTAAATCAGTTTTAAATTTTAAATTTTTTTATTTGTATCTCAGTATTATATCTATTTTTAGTTTACGCAGCTGGCTTAGAAGGAATGTTGAATATTGCACTTGACTTTTTTTTGCTTCAAACATCTTTTTTTTTCAAGTTTCAGAGTTTTTCTAGTTTTTTTTTTAGAAATAAAAAAGAGAAATAGAAATAAATAATGGCTTTATAAGAACTAATCCCCTGGCGACAAAAGTTTGGCAAAAAATAAACAAAAGTAGTAACAAGAAAAGTTTAAAGAACAAAATATTTGAATAGTTAGCAATATATTCTTTTTTTTTTTTCACTTTTGACCTGAAATAAAACTTTCTTGCCATTATAACATACTTCGTTAATTTTTTGGCATACATGTTCACACATACGTTGTACAAATACATTCTATACATAAAGGTATACAACGTTTCTCAAATAAAAACAAATTATTTTTTGCAGTTGAACTTTATTTTCAGCTTCCCAACTGTTTTTATACACATAATATTTAAGGATTGACCAGAAATCCTCAATAGGTCGTAGTTCTGGGGCGCAAGCGGGTTTATTAACTTTTGTAACAAATATTTTTTATCCAGGTAATTAATCATTGGTCATTCTTATAGCAAAGAAGACTAGGCTGGGTAATTACAAATTCATTAAGTTTTAATTACTCAAAGGCTATGCCAAATTTTTGTCATCAGGGGTTAGTGACACCACAACCTTGATAATGTGAATTTGTAGTTAGAAAAAAAAAAAAACAGGGTTAACCAGTTTGCTAATTTATTTAGGACATCCTATTGGCGCTTCTGGGTTGGCACAGTGTGCCGAGATTGTTAATCAAGTAATTACAATTATTTGTTGTATATAAATCAAGTTTTATTTTTTATTTTATATTTACCTATATTTTGCATGCATGTGCAAGTATTATATATATATGTATTATGTGTTTATGTATTATGAGTGTATGTATGCATTATGTGTGTATTTATGTACTATGTGTGTATGTATGCCTATATGTGTATGTATGTATTACGCGTGTATGTATACATGTGTGTAATTTGTATTTGTGTATATATGTATGTGTATGCATAAAAATGTATATATATATATATATATATATATATATATATATATATATATATATGTATATATATATATATATATATATATATATATATATGTATATGTATATATATATATACATATGTATATATATGTGTGTGTGTATATATATATATATATAAATATATATATATATATATATATATATATATATATATATATATATATATATATATATATATATATATATATATATATATATATATATATATATATATACAAGAATGTATATATATATACAAGAATGTATATATGTATGTTTGTATGTATGTATGCATATATGTATGATAAAGGTACTTTTATTTAGCTCCGAGGAAATGCTGGTTTACGGCAAGTAGATAAAGCAAAGTACGGTTTGCAACATAATTTTGGCATTGGTGGCGCTGCTGTAGTTACGGTTTATGGAAAATTAAGTTTGTCAAAACTTTAAGAAATTTTAATTATTTAACATTTAACAGCTTAAAAACATAATCTTTAAAATATTTGTAAATTTGTAACTCACGCCTAAAAAAGAAACTAATAAGTTGCGGAGCACGATAAATATGTTTTTATATTTTTTTAAATCTATTTATTTAGTTGTAATTTTTGTGTTGAAATTTTAAATTTACGAAAGAAACTTTAAAAAAATGCATTTCTAAATCATTCGCCTTATTTATGTCTCTTAAATTCTTTTGGAAGTAAATAAAGACCTTTTAATTTAACAAACGTAAAAATTAAAAAAAAAAAAATTATTATTTTAATAGTTGTAGTTTTAATAATAAAAAGTTGAGATGTAATGTATAAGATGATGAGATGTAATGTATAAGAGGAAAAGATGTAATGTATAAGATAATATTAAAATAATAGTTTTGGTAGTTTTTATATTACGTAAATTTGTAACTTTTTCTAAATTTCTTCACACATTAAAGTAATAATAATTAGTATAAAAAATATATATAATAATAATAAGTAAGAGTAATGATAATTTCTTCACACAGTGTTTCTCTTTTACTTACTTAGTGTTTATTTCCGCTTAAACTAAATACAAACCAAATAAACTATATGAAATCAAAAATTTGGTGCTTAAACGAGAAAATTTTTATAAAGCGAGTGCTTCTTATAAAATAGTTCTCTTGGTAATTGGTTTCTCCCCACTCCACTCTTAATCGAGGCTTGCTATAAAAGTAATTATATTTTGGGCAACCTTATATTTTTTAAATTTTATTTTTTATGCGCTAGTAAAAGTTTATGTTGACAATTATGTGTCATTTCTAAACCGTATAAAAAAATACAATAGTTCTCAATTTTGATATTTATCACTGTTGACGCTATCTTGTTACTGTTGTAACTATGGCAATGATGATATGTAACTATGATTCGTAATTTTTTTTTTTTGTTAATAGTTTTTGCAAAAGACTAATAAATATTTCTAAAATAAATAATCAACTTAAATATTTATAGTAATAAAGTCTTAATTTATATGAATGTTCGATATTTATTTGTAGTACTTTGAAACATTAAACTTCGAAATGAAGGAAATCAAGTAAATAAATAAGTAAGGAAATAAATCAAGTAAGCTTATTTATTAAATTACAATGCAACCTTTTAATGACTAATCAAGATTTGTCATTAAAATAGAATTTTATCAGTCAGTATTAATATAAGGAATTTATTAGTGTTCAGTCATATGAAAAAACTTTGTATAGTAGACATTCTGGGTTTTATTTGGTTTTTTAGATTTGTGACTGTTCATAACGATTTCAGTAAGTCCATTTTTCTGAATTATTGTCAAAATTATAATTAAAAAATGTTTACGCATTATTAAAGATTTATTCTTTTTTTTTTTTTTTCGCCATTTGTTATCACTATTGATATAAATATTGTTTTCTAAAGTTATAATCTAATAATAGTTTGCAGTTTATTTCAATAAGTAATTATAATGAATCAGTCTGCAATTTAGTTTTAAAAGTTTGGTGCAACGAGTTCTGGATGATTTATCGAGTTTGGGTTAGTTTTATTAACAATGAATGTCGCTGTTGGTTGATCGTTTAATATTTGTGCATTTTTGTTGTTTAATTGGATTATTCGAAGAGAGTTTATTTGTATATTTTTAGGTCGTCAATTATATGCAATAATTTGTTAACATTTTCGTAAATTCCTATGTAGAGGGGGTTGTTCTAAAACTTTAAGTATTATTTACGTTTTATTTAGCTTAGGTTCATTACTAGGCCTGTCGTTCATTGCTCATTGAATCGTTTACCTATTCAGAATGGTAAAAAAGATCTTTCAAGAAAATATCAACAGAAAAATCAAAAGAATAAGCCAAAAAAATTTTCTATAAAAAAACAAAAACATTTTTAACATAAAAAGCATTTTTAAAACAATAAAAATTAAAAATATAAATAAAAGATAATGATTTTATATCTTTTCCTTGGAAACCATCGCATAGAAATTTTTGTTGTGTGTTAAAAAAAGTTGATTTTAAAATAAACTATTGTAAACCCTGTTTACTTTACTTGAAAAATTTTAAATAACTGTTTTCAGGTTTTGATCAATCCATAGGTTTTTTTTAACGCTCTTTACAATAAAATACTGAAGTTATTTCTATAATTTAGACGCTAGTTATTAGCAAACAACAGTTATTTAGCAGACAACAAACCGCTCCGAAGAAGACTATTGCATTAGATACACCAGTATACTCATTTAATGGAATAAAAAAATTAGAAAAATTTATTAAAATAAAAAATTGGATAACATAGAAAATAGTGATACTATTGAAACCTATGCTCAAAATCTGAGTTTGGAAGTAACGTGACTTTTCATATCACAAGAGGTGGGGGAATTATTTATTATAAGAAGATAAGGATAACATCACCTCATCACGATCTTTTCATAGAGCTCCTATATAAAAACTTAAGTAACACATTGTACGATGTAAAACTTACAGAAAGAGATAATTAAATTTAAAGAAATAAAAACTAATGGAATAAACAAAAAGAAATAAAAAATAAAAAATCTAAAACAATATCAGACTTTAAAAATTTCTTTTTTTTTTTTGAGTTCGAAATGAACTTAATGACTTCACCATACATTTTTATTCGTTTGACAGGCGTTCCATATATTAGGTCCTCGATATGCTAAATAATTTTCTGACTGTGATACAACTCCGAGGTAATTTATAAGAGATGTTTACATTTCATTTTATATATGATCTAACAGATTATACTTTTATTAAAGTTTGTCGGTTTTAAAATCTTTACGTAAATATTAGGTGCTGATAGATATTTACTTCAAACACATTCATTTTTATATCTTTCATAAAAGGTTTAGCAAGTTCGCTTTTATGTTTAGAGAGTATGATTCTGCAAGCGTGTTTTTGTAGTCTATAGATTTTATTAAGTTAAGTTTTATTAAGATAAGTTTTGTTTTTTTACTTACTTAACCATTAGATACCCATATTGGCAAAGTTGGAGTGGCGTGCTACATCAACTTTGCTGTTATCACTGCTAGCAGTGAACTCGGTAAAAAAATAATACGTCACCCGGTGAATTATTTTTATATCAGTTCAAATATAATTTAATTTTTTTTTTTCCCTTTACTAAGTAAGTACCAAACGTCGAAGCAACATCTTATTGGCGATACGGCAACGTCGTATTAAGTTGGGATGACGCCTCGCACTAATTTAATATAATGCATTATATTAAGTTAGAGCATGTAGGTTGGTTATATTGTAAAAACTTGGCAATTTTTGTTAAAAAAATTAATTTTTAGTTTATTAGCTAACATTGTATAAAATTTTACTAGCTTTTTAACCATATATAGCATGATATATTTTTTATAACAAAAAAGAATTATAAAATTGATTTTATTGATAATGAGTTAAGAAATTTACTTAGTTACATCCATAGCAACCAAATTTGTTATTGATATATTTACCTAAGAACTTAATTTTCAATAGTTGTTTTTATTTTTGGGTTTGTATAACTGCTAAAAATTAAAAAAAACAAAGTTGTAAATCAGATAATGTTGTTAGTTAAAATGAGTGTATCAAATTTTTAATTAATTTATTGTTTTTAAACTTTGAAGCTTGATTTTTCAATTGTATTTTTTTGTCTGACTGCGAACAGCAAATCATTCATATCTTTTTAACCAGATACTTCAAATTTTCAGGGTTGTTTCTTTATAGAAAGAACTGCAATACCTTACTAGAACTAACCTTAAACATAATTCCATTTGAATATATTTATATTTTGCATATATTTTACATATACATTATATTTTTTTATATTATTTTATATATCTATTATATTATATTTTTTATTATGCTTATTGTTATTATATTTATTATTATATATGTTATTTATTATTATATTTATTATTATATATTTTATTATGTATTATATTATATTTATTATATTTACTATTATATTTTATTATTTTTGTTATATTTATTACATTATATTATTTATTTTACATATACATTATGTTTTACATTATATTTGAATATATTTATATTTTACTTAAACATGTTTCCATTTGAATATATTTATATTTTACCTAAGTTCTTTGCATCAATTATATCCTTTAAAATTAAAAGAATTGCCATTTTAAAAATAACTATCATTCAAAGTTTTTCTAGTAAGGTTTTGTTTATTGCACTATAATCTATCTGTGTGGTAAGTTTTAGCTTGAAATGTTATAAAAAAGTTGAGAAAATGTAGTTTTTTTTAAATTGATTTTTCTGCATTTAATGCTGAATCAGCATAAAAAGGTAAGTAAATTTTAAATTAAGCATTATTTAGCCTTGCTACTAATTTTGATATGTAAAAAAAGATATTAAAAAATTTTTTTTACCATATAACCACCTAGGTGGTTGAGAAAGAGATTTTTCAAAACGAGGCTTATCGCAAACAAGACGAACGCGTTTAGTATAATTTTATATGGTTCAGAGTACTTAGATATAGTGCTTTTTAATATAAATGTATATATTTTATAAATTTTATATATATTTCTACATTTTAATATTTTACATTTACGAGCGCAGTCTCTTTTTCACGGAACGTTTAATGAAAAGTTATTTCGATTGGCTAATCGGTTAAAACCGTCTAACCGGGTAACCGGTTAGACGGTTTTAACCGATTAGCCAATCGAAATAACTTTTCATTAAACGTTCCGTGAAAAAGAGACTGCGCTCGTAACCGGGTAACCGGTTAGACGGTTTTAACCGATTAGCAAATCGAAATAACTTTTCATTAAACGTTCCGTGAAAAAGAGACTGCGCTTGTAAATGTAAAATATTAAAAGTGTTAAATTTTATATTTTATTTAAAAAACAAATTTTTGACAAAAAAATAATAAAAATAGATTTAAATCTTTTCTTTATTTGTCAAAACATAGATAATTTAAAATGTTTTAAAAACGAAATGTGTTCAGAATTATCAACCGGACAATTGGAATTATCAACCGGTTAAATTAAATAGGCATAATCTAAATTTTTTTATACAAAAAAACAAATTCTTTCTACTAAATAGATGCATTTTGATGTGTTTTTTTTTGTTCCCAAACATGGTTTCTAAAAAGAAATTTACTGACATGTATATGACAGCAGCCGTGGCGCAGTGGTTAGAGTTCTGGCTCAGAACAAGCGACATTGGTACGGAAGGAGGTGTGAACTTCCTGTTAAATGCTCTCCCGCGGTGCTCTATGATAAGACCGTAAGGACTTCTGGGAGCACCTATATACATACAAAAAAAAAAAAAAAAAATATCCAGTAAAAAATATTAGTTAAAAATTAGTATCAACTCATATTATTTCGCGAGGTTAGAATTATTTTGTTCTATCTCCACATTTTTTTGTTTCGAGATAAAACGATTTAAAAAATAAAAACTTTAGGAGACGGCATATAAAAAGATTTTTATTACTTATGTATTCTCCGAAACTTTTTTGATTTTAACTTAGGTTTTAATATAGTAGAAAAACATTATTTTGAGGTACATTACACAATTAATAACTCATTTTTTTCAAAAAGTGGAGATAGAGCAAAATAATTCTAACCTTGCGATTTAATGTTGGTTTTAAATTAAAGAATATACACTACTGTAACAAAGGTTGCAAAAAATGACTGGTTGCAAAAAATAGACTGGTTCATTTGTATAAATAACTATTTTTATAAATTTTCAAATAGGTTTCTACTCTTCAATCAACGATACAACTAAATTTGCGTTATTGTATTTTTTAATTTTAACTTTTTATGAATATTAGTATTATATGAATGATGATTGCTCTCTAGGCATGAAACTATTAGTATCATACTTCATACTTTTTAGGAATGATGATTTATTTTTGCTGCATTGTATATTTTTCTCAAAGTACATCAGCTTCAGATTTATTCGATAACGTTTATTATCCTGGAAGAATACTAGATTCGTTTTCAATTGATGACAATATTAAGATACCTGTTTTCCATAGAACTTACAGCAGGATCGAGAGAAAAACAAAATTTACCGGAACATTTAACATTTCTGGTTTTACATCATATGATCAAGATTCTCATGTTCATGGTTTTCAAACAAAACAAACTGACGAATCTAAGTATTTATCGTGGGAAACTGTTGCTGCGAAAACTGGTAAACGTGTTGCAACTTATGTAAATGTTGATAAAACTATAGAATCTTATCATCTAGAAAGATTATTTAAACGTAAAAAAAGAGATGTTCGCGAACGCATAAGAAAAAATATATTCGGACGCGACGATCGCTTGTATGTTCCTTTAAACGAAAAAGTTGGATTAGTTGAACCATACAGTTACACTGTTCGCATATCAACGGGATGCTCTGGAATAGCAATATCGCCGCAGCACATACTTACAGCAGCCCACTGCGTTCACGATCAAAAAGATTATATTAAAGAATCCAAAGAGATTCAGGTGGGTTTTTTAAACGAATTAAATAATGTTTCGTGGATAGATGTCAAATCAATTATAGTATCTAAAGGATGGATAATTGGAGGTGTTACTAATGGACCGTTTTACGACTACGCCTTGCTCACTTTGACTAAAAAGCACGGACGTTCTTACATAGTATTAACAGTGAGTGAAAATGATCAACATGGTGTTGGAGAAAGGATTTCTTTTAATGGATTCGATGACGACAAGCCAGAAAGTTCTTTGTGGACCAGGTAACTTAATTTCTAAACTTTTTGCATTAAAAATAAGTAAAACGCTTGTAAGGAGTAAACAAACCAATAATACAGTTATTAGAAGTAATAACATGGTTATTAGAAGTAGTAACATGGTTATTAGAAGTAATAACATGGTTATTAGAAGTAATAACATGGTTATTAGAAGTAATAACATGGTTATTAGAAGTAATAATATGGTTATTAGAAGTAATAACATGGTTATTAGAAGTAATAACATGGTTATTAGAAGTAATAACATGGTTATTAGAAGTAATAATATGGTTATTAGAAGTAATAACATGGTTATTAGAAGTAATAACATGGTTATTAGAAGTAATAACATGGTTATTAGAAGTAATAACATGGTTATTAGAAGTAATAATGGTGCCAAAAAAAACGGGATAGGGAGAGAGGGTAAAAAGTTATTAAAAATAGGGGAAATAAGAGCTTTTTGATGATATTAATAAACGGTGAGTGGGTGTTGTAATAAACGAGGAGAGGACGGTCTTTTTGAAAATATTGTAAAAGGAGAAAGGGGGTCTTAATATATGTTAATATACGTTAAATGCTCTCGAAAGAAAGAGGTTTAATCTCTCGAAAGAAAGAGGTTTAATCAAACTCAATCACTTTAATGCATAATAAGACTTTTTTTTAAATAAAAAACTACACATAATTTTAGGCGAGCGGAAAAAATCTAAACTAAAAAAAACTGAAGGTTGTCTTTAACATGCCTTTGTTTAAACCTTTATCTATTTATATTTATTAAAAAGGTGTTTAAAAAATAATCATTGTTCATCAGATTAAAAGTATTGGTTTTGATTTCACTCTTTTTATCAGCAGCACTTTGGTTCTCTTTTTTACTTGTTTTCTTTCAGTTTAAGTTTGATTTGGATTTGAGTTGACTAAAGTATAGTTGACTGTAAAGTATTGCTTTAAAACTGCAGTGACATGAGGTATAACTTGCTTTGGATATAATCTAATTTTAGGAACTTGGCAAGATAATTGCTAAACGAGACCTTTTTTTTTTCTTCTTAATGGTTTCATGTAGGAGGTGATTTTTTAATAGGGTCCCATTAATTTATTTTTTTGCCAGAGGAGGTGCCAATGTTTGTATCACCAAGGAGACACAAATATTGTATCAAGTAACAATATAGATACGTTAAAATAAGATTAAAAACAAAAATACAAATAAATACTGCCCCAACGTTTATTTGGCTCCTTTAAAGATCTGAGGATCTCATACTTTTAAGGTTCTCCATTTTTTAAAACGTTTTTTTTAATAGCTGACAAAAAATTCAATGTGTTTTTGAAAATATCCTAAACAATCCAGTCTTGTTACTGCAACATCATTTACGTGTTTTGACTGTATCATAGGTTTTGCTCTCATCATAACAAAAGTACTCTGTGTCTTTTAAGTTATATTTTTCAGAGAGAAATACCTTAATCACACCAGTAAATTCCATCAAACGAGCTGATTCTTCATAGTTTTTATTGCATATTTGCGTCTTTTTTTTCAACTTGGGTTGTTTTGAGTTGATGGTAATGTAATTTTTACAACATATTTTAAATTATTAAGATGATGTTACAACATATAAAACCCTCTCATTTACAATTACGAATAATGATGCAATCAGGAGCCGATGCAGCATATTTTTGATGTTTGAGCTAATTTCCGTTAGCTCAAACATCAAAAATTGACGTGTAACAAAATCAAAAAATGCAAATGTTTACGCTTTTGTCAAATAAAGATGCTTTGCGAAAATAACGATGGTTGAAGCCTGGAAAACCCTAATATTTTTGCAACACCTGCCCCAAATATGAGAGCAACATATTGATAAAATATTTTTTCTTAACCAAATTTATATTCGTCGATAAATTTTAAAATTTGTATAACAACCTTTTAGCGTTTAAAAATTATAGCCATATAAAGTTTAAATCCCCATTAATTTGAGGGGGTTAAAAATTTTATAAAGTTTTAATTTTTGAACGCTAAGATATTATTTTATTTTATACAATTTAAAATTTACCAATGAATGTAAATCTTTGAATATAAAATAGTTAAGAGTAGAAAAAACCTTTTCATCAACTTGTTGCTCTCACGGGGTAGGTGTGGCAAAGGTTTAGGGCTTTATTATTCCCAGACACCAATATCGCAATTTTGAACTATACATCCATGTTTTATATCAAAAAAGTCCATTATCTATTATCTCATTAGTCAATTTGCTTTCTCTAAGTTCTTGAACAGCCTCAACACAAATAGTTGCTATTAGCAACTGTTTGTGTTGAGCTTATCAATTTCTAAACAATAACATTGTAGTTTTTTTTTTACTAAGTCCTTTTAGCCTATTTATAACCATAGTAAACCGATGTAAATCAGCTTGACCTTGACCAAAGTTTCTCATGGCATATACTTTTCTTTTACAAATGTTATACCATGCTACATTTTTAATGTGTCAAAATTTAAGTTAAAACCATATGTTTAATGCAAGGCTTTTCATTCTCGTCTAACGGCACCAGAGGTGATTGAACATCAATGTTTCTCAAATATGGAACCAAATATTTTCATAAAATAAACTTGAAACCACTTTTAATTGGTACCATACTAACTTACTTCTTTTTTTGATACTGAGTCAGCAGTACTTGTATTATTGAAATTAACACTGTTACACCAATATTTACGTGTTTCTTTAGATTCTCTAATTCCGTGAAAAATTAGCAGTGATTGCGGTGATAGTGATATTAGCAGCTTTAAATAATTGAATTTAGCTGTTTGCTGATGATATCAATAAGTAATGCTTTCAATAACATTCATCTTGTAAACACTTAAATATCTGTATGGTCCAATTACTGGTAACACAGAATAGCAAGATATTTTTTACATATCTATTCTTATTATTGAAGTTCCTTTACAAATACTGAAACTGTTTATTCAACTATGGATATGAGAACCACCATGCCTTATAATACGAAGTTCTCCAATCATTGCTTTTGTATTTCGAATACAGCATACTCCCGTATTTGCTTACTGTTAAAATCTTTCATCAGTTACAACTCTCACCTTTTGTTAAAACCCTACAAAGTTAATGTGCTGCTAACTGAACTAAAATCTTTTACTTCAGTTTGGAGTCCTCATATTTTGAAAGATATAAGTTGCATAGAAAAAGTCCAAAAATATTTAACTAGAATTGTCTGCAAAAGATGTCATATTGCATAAACTAATTACTTATTAAGACTTAATCTCTTGATTATCGCAGAGTTAAATTTGATCTTTTTATGATTTATCTTATTGATTAACCCTTCTCATATTTTTTTACTTTTTCTAACTAAAAATATTTTATAAGAAGTCATTTACAAAAATTTGCTCCGCGTAATAAACACATTAATGATACGGAGAGCATGATTGTCAAATTCCATTTATCTTATCTTGAAGCGTTGATCCAGCACTATAAATTTTTTTGCAGTTGTTAATATTTTACTGCCATCTTTAACAACTTGAATAGCCAATTGGAGGTTGGTATCACTACAGGATTTCTTTTTCATAAAGAGATAATATAAAACGAGTTTGAGATTTTGGCACTTCGGATAAAAATGCAAAAAGTCATTTTTGTTCTATCTTTTTAAATACTGATGCTTGTATTTTTTATGCATTTTAAACATGGTAATCAGTATAGTGGCAGTATATATCTGTATAAAGAATCTGCAATAGTGAGTATTTAATGATAAGAAATGCAAATATAAAAAAATGCATTCAATTAGAACAAACGACATTTTCGAATACAAAATTTTAGGAGAATTTTAAAAACTCTGCTAAACCTTGAGAAATAAATAAACATGCAGGTGTAGATTGGTTTAGAGCTTTTTTAAGTCGTCATCCAAAACTTGTTAAAAGAAAACCAGAAGCAACATCAATTGGTCAAATGTCAGCATTCAACAAGTATAATGTAGATCTATTATATAATAATCTGCATAGTTTTTGATTAAATAAAAGTTTTCACCAAATGATATATGGAACGTTGATGAGACTGGTGTTACTACTGTTCAAGTGCCTGAGCATGTTTTAGCCAAGAGAGGACAGAGGCATGTTGCTTCTGTTACAAGTGCAGAACGAGGTATCTTGGTAACAATGTGTAATGCAGTAAATGCAAGTGGATCATCATTTCCATGTGTCCATTTTAAAGATTTTTTTCTGCGAAATTCAATTCCTGGTTCTCTTGGCACTGCCAACATCTCTGGGTGGATGGTGGAATCAACCTTTATGGAGTGGTTTAATCATTTTATAAAAGGTGTTCGACCATCTAAGGCAAACCTTGTGCTGTTGATACTAGATAATCATGAGTCTCATATGTCAATTAACTTCATTGACTTGAAGTTAATTGACATATAATGTTGTAATTGTTTTAACAATCCCACCCCATACATCAAACAAAATGCAACCACTAGATATAATAGTGTATGGACTTTTCAAACGTCATTATAATCGTGAAATTGATAGCTGATTGGTATCACATCCAGGAAAAACTTTTTCAATCTATGACATTGCAGAAATTTCTGGAAAGGCTTGGGAGAAAGTATCAATACCAGTTAACATCATTAGTGGTTTTTCAGTATCTGGATAAGTCTTTTTCTAACTAATCGATGGAAGGATGAGAGTTTTTTTTTATCTCAGGTTACAAACAGACCCAATCCTGAAACACTCAACATCAATCCAATGTTAGTAGAAATTAATAGACCTAATCCTGAGGCTCTTTGAAATCAACAACTTCAGCGAAATTTAAAAAAACAAAACTTTTCTGAAAAACAAAAAGATGCTTAAAATAAACGTCAAAGGAAACCAAGAAAGAAATCAAGTAACTCAAAAACTTTAAAGTTTCCATTAATGACATATAATAATGATGAAGCTGATGATATTCTTGTTGATAGAAATTATAATGATGTCAAAGATAGTTTAAATTTTTGTGGAGGTATTACATCAAATTACGATTTGAGTGCCATATGTGAAGAAATAGGTCGTGATAACAAAGTGTGGTTTTGCAGACAGTATGCGGACAGTATGCGAGCGGACAGTATGCGACAGTATTTGCGAGCGGACAGTATGCGACAGTATTTGCAGACAGTATGCGAGCTGGGCACATAAAGCTTGCACAAGTGCAGATAATGCCAGCCAATAAGTTTGTGATTATTGTAATTTGACTATCTGATTGAGACTTCGGTCTAAAGTTGTACTAATTAATTCAGAAATATCAATAATGTCTCAACATACGTCTTTCTTGTTTTTAAACTCCATTTATCACCCTAATTGCTTTGCATAAAGTAACTTGCTATGCGCAATGGTTTATAGCTTTTATTATAATATACAATATACAAGAATAGTTAGTTAAGATATTAATCTTGTCTCCCGAATTAATATATCGGCTATAGTTATTAACGATAAAGATATTGATCTTTTTTATAGAAAAAAAAATTTTTTTGTGGTCCATTTAGTATAAGGGTTGGTCCATTCAGTACAATAAACAGTACTGAATGGAGCACTAAATAATTTGGTACGGGTCACATTTGTTGCACATTTTGCCTATGTTCTGTTAGCGTAATGGTTTACAACTTTTAAGGATTGTTAGTTAAGTTATTAATTTTGACTTCTGAATTAATATATCCGCTATTGTTTTTATAAAATAGTTGAATTTTGTGGTCCATTCAGTACCACTCTCCCCTATTAATATTAATTATTGTTTAGAAAGCAAAAATATTGTGCAATATTTTTTTTTTATAATTATTTAGGTTATAATTTTAAAATAATAAATATTTTACAACATCTTAATATGCTGTTATGCCAAAATAGTATCTTTTTCTTGAAATTTTAAAAGTGGCGAAATCACCCCGGTCTATCCTAAAACTCACTTCCTGACTACATAGTGAATTCGTCTTCATTGTCTGCAGTCAAAACAAAAAAGTTTGATCTAAAATATCATTTTGAAGTTTACTTGTTTCCTTCACACTTACTCTTATTGGAGTTTTAATATTATTCGTGTTACATATTTAGTACTGTCCACCTTTTTTGTAACTTGTACAACTTTCAAATCCAAAAAAATAGATAATAAAATGACTTACGATAAGAAACTGTATAGTTGACACAGGTAACAATATAAACCTTTTTATATAAAAATGTTTATATCACTATAACATAACATAATAATAAAAAAGATTTTCATAATTTCTCAAGAAATTTACTTTGAAAATAGTGAAAAGTAATGTTACCGACAGATTGAAAAATAACCTTACCAATAGATTAAAAAGTTTTATTTTTTGAAAGGAACGACCTTCATAAAGTGTAAAAAAAATATTTGATAGGGCTAAATTACTTCACAAATTACCTACAAAACCTATATAGTTTTGGATAAAAACATTGTTTGTAGAATTCTAAATTTTAAGTTAAAGAACTTTGAAACTCATCGTTTTGAATAAAGGATTTTTTTTTTAACGATTATAACTATAATGTTGCCGCTTAAAAAGTTTTATAAACTTTTTTACTTTTTTATTGGCTTAGAAACCTTTATTTTTAATTTTAAGTTTAAATAATTTTTATGTTTTTGCATGTTTTACTTTCATAAAACATATAAAAAAACTATATCGTTATGAAACAAACAAATATTAATTTAGAACTTGCAATGTTGTTGAAGATGATCAAAACTTCCTTTATCATTATTGCGACGCCCAACCTGGATCTTCGGGATCGGGAGTATATTCATGGGTGTACGATGAAATATTAAACGACTGGAGAAGAGAACTGATAGGTGTATTCTCAGGAAATAGATGGCGCGCGTACGACGAGTTCTATATAGTTACGCAAAATTTTAACGTTGCAGTTCGGTTAACTTCAAATAAATACGCCCAAATATGCAACTGGATGGGAAAAATTGGTGAAGAAGTTTGTCGCCGCTCACACAAATATGTATAACTGAACAATTTAAAATAATGCAGAGGTTATAAAAAAGAATGACTTAAATTCTCCAAATATTTGCTAAACATATACTTCAGATAGTTGTACATTCATTAATAAAAAATCCAAAAAGTTGTACACACAACTATTAACACATAAAAAGTGTACTCATCTGTCAAAATGGTAATAGTTTATCAATTTGTTTTTAAAAAGTTCTACACATACTAATCTAAATGTGAATAGTGTATGATAATCAATAGACATATTTGTGACTATTGGACAAGATTGTAACTATTAATCGTACTACGATTGTAAACCCATCATCTTGAAAATGTCATCACATCGCATACGAAATGTTGTTCAGTTAAAAAAATGAATACCCTTAGTTAAAATGTGACAAGTTGACAGTTCAACTGATTGTTAAAGTTAGCAGACAAGCCTGCAACAAGATTTAAATCGTTTTGAAAAGAATTTAAATCTAGACAGTTATCACATATAGTAAACAAAAAATTTCATCTTGATTAGTTTTGACCGACATAATTTTAATGACGGCATAATTTTATCGACGTTATTCCAACAAAAAAAAAAAATTTTCTTCGTACTTTTAAAAAAATTATTTTTTAAAGTTATTTTTTTGTATGTTTTTTAAATAATGAATAACTTAAAATATTTTTTTAAATTATATAAAGTTACTAAGATATGCTTTGTTCATAAACCGCTCCAATTTTCACCCAACTTATTAAAGAGCGTCTATACTTTTTTACTCTATTATACACTCTTTTGTAAAATAGTATTAAAACATTATTAAAAACAAAGTTATGTATCACTTTATATCGAGCTATCAATTTTAACGCAAAATTGACAGCAGAAATTTAGCATTACAAACGTACTTGATTTCTTTACCCTCACTGCACTTTAATGTTTTTTTTTTTTTTTTGCTAACCGTGAAAAACTAAGAAAGATCGATTTGTTTTGAAAAGTATTGATGGTTCCTGATTTCAAAACTTTTTCACTGAGTTAACGCTTTTAATCTTTCGAACCGTGCAAGCTGCTACATAGCCGATAATCATCTGCATTGTACATTTGATAAGTAAACCAATGGTCCACTCATCTGTAAGCAATGCATCTACAAATGTCAAATGGCAAATCTCTTTTCTCAGGTAGAAGAATAAATTCCAAAAGCGCTAGTATTGCTCGGGAATTCCATCTTGCATTATTTAATTTAGGTATTTTCTGAAACTTCACTTTAGAAAATACTCCAGATTCTTCAAAAAAGCGAAAAGTTAAATGAAACAGATATTTTATAACGGATGCGTTTTACTTAGCAGTTAAAAAGATTTTTTCTTTTTTTTTTCGGTTTTTTTTTTTTCGCTTGCTGGATTAAAAAAAATAAAAAGGTTTATTTTATATAATGATTAAATCAAAAAAGTGAGCAACAGAATCTTGCATTTATAAAGATAAAGAAATTTCAATAAGTATTGTTCGAGAAATATTTAGAGAAATTCCAAAACAGCAAAATGACATTCTTAAACTCTTCAGCGAAAACTTAAAATTGTCAAACGACAGAATTGATGGTTTGATTGCAGAAATATTATCAATAAAAGAATTGTATAAAACTCTATTTAATGAAAACGAATCAAGGTAAGTAAAACTTGAAAATATCAATGAACGATTAAAAAATATGAATGTCTTCAAGAGATATTGAAGTCTTAATTTTACCCAAGATATGAATGAATTCAAAGAAATATTGAAATCTTAATTTTACCCAAGAGATATTCAAAATATATTGAAGCCTTATTTTTCCCAAGTGATTCAAGAAAAGAAAGTTTATGATTTATAAAAAAAAAATTCACTACAAAACAGAAATCGGTCATATAGAAAAAAATAAAATAATGCAATTAGAAGACAGCCTAAGAAGAAATAATCTTCGACTTGATGGACCTAGAGTCGACGAATGAATCGGAAAGCTGCGAGTAAACCGAATTAAAGGTTATTGAAATATTTGAAAACATCTCAACATAAAAGGAGTTACTATTGAATAGGCACACAGAACAGGAACAACAAATCCGAGAACTATAGTAATGAAGTTATTAAATTATAAAGATAAGACTCAAGTATTAAAAACTTCCACAAACTCAACGGAACGGATATTTACATAAATGAGGATTTTCCCTTCGATACAATGGTGATACGGAAAAAGTTATTTGAAGAAATGAAAGTTAACAGGAACAACGGTATGTACTCGATTGTTATTTATGACAAACTAATAGTAAAGAATTTCGAAAAAATCAAAAAGCTAAAATTTAATCATTTTAATTCTTTATGTCTTTTGGTCTTTATACTTTATATTTATAATGGATAAAACTATAAATTTTTATCAAGATTTACAATTTAAATCTTTTCAAATACACAAAAAATATACTTCAGAGAGTCATTCAGATATTTTTATAATAATAGCGAGGAAGTTAAAAACATAATGCCATTATATTACCACTTAAAAACTTCAAATCCTGAAATAGATATAGACGCATTCTCTATTCGACATTTAAATAATGAAAGCATTAAAAAAATTTTGAGAGATTAATATTTTTTTACTCACAACAAAAATGGATTTTAAAGTTATTTGCCTCACAGAAACATGGTTTCATAATATAGATATTGAAAACGATTCAAGTTTTCTGCTAAAAAATTATAAGGTAACTCATCAACTTAGAAACTCTGAAAAAGCAGTGGAAGAAGTATGCATCTTTATTCACAACTCATTCATTTATAAACCGCGAAGTGATTACTGTACAGCAAGTAATGATTGAAAGTCATTGATAATTGAAATTTTTAGCAAGACGACTAAAAACGTAATAGTGCATGTATTATACAGACCCCCCTTCAAATAAAGGTGAATTTCCACTCGTCCGTTTTTCTACGGGGACGGGAAAGGAAAAGAAAAAATAATCACATGATTAAATCCAAAACCGGTATAAAAATATTTCATAAACACATAAAAAGTTTAATTACAAATAAGTATGTTTTCGATAAACACTTTTACCTTGTGGGCGATTTAAACTTAAGTATGTTAGAATATGACTCAAATTGAAACGTTAGAAATTTTCTTAACTTAGTATTTCAAAATGGATTCATTCCAACCATAAATAAACCAACTAGAATCACCAAAAATAGTACAACCTCGATTAATCAAATTATAACAAACAAATTTACAGACAAAAAAGGTTAAAGCTGGAATATTTATATCCGATATATCAGATCATTTTCCAATTTCTATTGCATCTCAAAAATGTAATCTTAATTGGCGAAAATTAAAAATAACTAAGCGAATCATTAATGACGTTTCTATTGAACTTTTTAATCACTCTTTATCTTCTAAAAACTAAAAAAGTATATTACAAATAAAAAGCACTAACAAAGCCTATTACAATTTTCTTCAAATATTTCAAAAACATTGCATTTCAGGAGATAACAAAAATTATTAAATCTAAAATATATTTGAACTCATGGTAACTACCGGAATATTAAAGTTATCAAAAAAGAAACAGCCTTTTATGAAAAATTTCTTACAAAAAGAATATTTGATAATGAATTCAAGTATAAAAATTATAAAAGTATTTTTGAGCTAGTTGTAAATCGTTCAAAGAAAATGTATTACTTAAACCAATTACTGAAATTCAAAAGCGACATTCAGAAAACCTGGAATGTCATTAAAGAACTAATTTAAGAAGAAAAAAAAGTTAATAACTAATTGAACACTGTATTTTGAAAACGTGACGAGTCACAAAATTAAAATTTTACAGGAGAGTGAAAAATAATTCTCCTGTAAAAGATTGTATTACAATTTTTTTTGTAGCTTATAAAAAGTAATAAGTGTTTACATCTTACATCTTAAATCAGAGAAATTTTTTAAAGCATCAACTTTCCTAAAAAAATAATATTTTAATAATAACAACCTCACTCTTAAAACAGCGTGTCACGTTTTTGAAATACAGCGTTTAATTGTCTTCTTTTAATTTTACTTTTTTTTTTTTTTTTTTTTCCGACTTTAATAGCGTTGATAAACTCAATGAAACAAAAATTGCAGAAACATTTTGCAGAAAAAGTTTTGATTAGTATAGGATCAAATTTAGCTTTAAAACTAAATTTAGCATAGAGTTTTATTTAACTGCTAACAAATAATAACGACCAACAATAAACTAAATGAAATGAGTTCTTAATTGCTTTTCAAACGTTAAAACTAAACAAAGAATTAGGAGTTGATGAAAAGAGCAGTAAAGTTGTAATAAAATCTACGCATTATTCAATAACTGTATATTTTTATTCAAGAATTATTTCAAGAAATTTTTAAAAAATTAAACAAAGAAAAAAATAAAAAATAGCTAAATTTAAAAATAGCTGAATGGTTTGATACTATAAAATTGTCATTAAACTTAACCTAAACTAAGTATATATTTTTTCTTCACCTTTATCAAAAAGACAAAATTCCTCTAAAGCTCTTAAATGTTAGCATTGGGAATCAAATTATAAAAAGAGAACACTCGATTAAGTTTCTAGGTATTGTTCTTGACGAAAGTTTCACATGGATAAACCACATAAAATTAATTGAGAATAAAATTTTTAAAAATATTGGAATACTTTATAAGGTAAAACGTTACCTAAATCAGGTTTGCTTAAAAAATATCTACTTCTCTTTTATTCATTGTTATCTCTAACATATTATCATGCTAACATTCCTTGGTGGAGCATCAATAAAAAAAATAAATAAAAAAACTATTCGACAAACGAAAACGTTCCATAATAATATCCAACGCAGACTGTCTCTCTCTCATTCACAACTGCTATTTATTATTCTAAAAAAAATTGCTCATTTACTAAATAATATATCATCATTTTTTTGATTTTATTTAGGTTCCCCAAATATGAAAATTGCAGTTAAGAAACGTAAGGAGAAATTTAGAACATGAAAGGTGTAAATAAGAAATCGTGAGATGTAATTAAAAATATTATAGTTGTAATTAAGAAATGTTTATAATATAGATTCTCAGAATTACGTTCTTTGTATTTTTAATTTTGTTGCCTTAATTTACCTTGGTTTTTAATTTTGCCAAGGTGGCTGTATAGGATTGGTTTTCAATAAATAATAATCTACTATCAATAAGATAAAAGTGACGAAAAAGGCATTTGCATTGAAATAAAATCCTATCGGGTGTTAAAACTTTTTTTTTGTTTTGTTTGAGAAAAATTCATTTGAGAAATCAGATGAATAATAAATAAAACACAAATAATTTATTTACAAAAAAAAAAAATATAAAGATTTAAATTGAATTTAAACACTGTCATTACAAATCATTGTAATATTCAGTTAAACACCGACTTCGGCATCTTCCATATTTTAAACCGTTGCGTAATGCTTTGTAGTATGTTGAGCAGCACATGCACAATCACCTCCTACTATTGTATTATTTGCCGCAGTACCAACTTTTTCCAAATACTGCATTCGTTGTTCCACAATTCCAACACCGAGTACAGATGGAATGCGAGTCACATTTTTAACGTAACTTTTAATTTTAGATTGTTTCCACCATGTTTAACATTGGACTGTAAGGTCCTAAACGTTACAACTGAGCTGGAGAATTTTCAAACACCCTTTCCAAACGTGCGGGACATAGAGTATTGTCTGTTAAGATGACTAAACTCTCTGAAAGATTCCCGGATGTAAACTATTGGTAGAACGTAACCAACATCTACTCCTTACAAGGTCCTGCATTAAATGATCTTGTAATGCAAACATTAAATGCGAGTTTCATTAATAAAAAGAGGTTTAGCTAGTATTAAGACTCTTTATAAATTTTCAGGTATAGAGATTTAAAAAAATAACAAAGAAATTATATTTCTATACTTTTAAACAAGGTGAATAAACAAACAAAAAATAATAATCAATAATTATGTATTCTAATAACAAAAGTTTTCGATAAGAGAGAAACCAGAAATGCAGCGATTTCGAGTCCAGTGTTTCTCGAGGATTCGTTAATAAAACAAACTTTCGATCTTTACTTTATTTCAAGATTATAAGTTAGATTTTATGTATTTCTCAATTGTTGCAAGTCATATTGCAGCATATTCCTTAAACTTCAATTACGCACAAAATGTTTGCTGTAAATTTCATAATCATAGTTTTCGGGATGATGCGGGTCATAAAATCGTGGAGAAGTTTCATCACTAGTGTATCTGTAAGAAAACATTGTTTTAAAATAATGTATTTATTTCAGACTAAAGTTATTTTTAAAAAATTAGCACGAATTAAAAAAAACTGACTTTAGTTTTTCGAAAAAATGCTTTCCCTTCAAATTATCTAAAAATAAAAATAAATTGTACGTGTTTTTTATATAAGTATTTATTTATATATTTATACATACATTAAAAAAAAAAATGCAGTGTTAGCCCCCAGCGTTTTAGTTTGGGGGACTATCACCCCCTCCGCCCCGCTCCCCTGTTCCTACGCCAATATATATATATATATATATATATATATATATATATATATATATATATATATATATATATATATATATATATATATATATATATATATATATATATATATATATATATATGTATGTATGTATATATTAGGGATGTGACTTTTTGGTACCTCCAGTTTCCAATATAAAACAGATGAACTTTGGTTTGAAAGTAACTTAAAAATTAAAAAGGTCGTTTTTTTGACATTTTGTTTGCTATACTTTTTTTTAATGTTTCAGTAGAAAAGATTATGAGTTTTGAAATCACTATAAATTTCTTTTGAGAGGTTGATAAGTTATAATAAGAATATTTTTATATTATTCAGAGTAAGAATACTTTATACATTATTATAAGAATAGGTTGAAAGCAATGGTCACCATAATAATGGTATCCATTACTTCTCCTGATATAATATGTATCGCAGAAACCTGGTTCACTATTTCAACTATTTATTTTAAACTTATTTTAGAAATGACAGCAGAGATTATCGAGGTGATAATTTATATTAAAAACACATAAGTAACGAAGTCAATATAAATGTCAAATACAAGCTATTGATGATGCTTAATCTTAAATAAAATTAAAACGTTTTCCAATTTTAGTAGGCAGCATTTATAAACCACCAATAGTTGAAGCAAACAATATGGTTCAAGGTTTGAATAAAATATTTGAAACCATTAGGCATAAGCTAGATATGAAAATGCTTAACGGTTTTATGATTACATAGGGTTTTAATAACCCGCATATATTAAATAAACAACTTTGGTTATACAAATGAAAGTAATAAATCAGACTCTGAAAGATTTATAGTTTCAATGAATTTGGGAACCAACTGTTTCGTATAAGTTATCAAATATTGTTTTGGATTTAATAATAACTGAAAATACATCCCCAATCGTTGGTATACAAAATTAACCACCACTTGGAAACAATAATAGCGCTCATTATCATTATTGTTGAACATTACCAGGTTTTATTATGCCTATAACAAAGGCATAAAATACAAATGTCAATTATTTTTAACTCAGTTAACTGAAATGAAACTTTGAAGAAATTATGTGGATAACAATGTTATACTGAATTTTTAAAGATCTATAAAACAGTATGCAAGTTATTTTATTCAATAACACAAATATAGATAGAAAACTAAGTCTTGAAGATTAAGAAACTAAAACAACTATTAAAAACAAATTATTAAAACCTGTGGCATAAGAACTTGAATAACATTACATTAAAAAACAGTTATACGTTAATAAAAAATCTTTAGAAACAACTTTAGTAATTAATTCTAAAAATAATGCAAAAATCATTCACAGTTATATAAGAAATAACTAATTTATTATTCATATTTACAAAGAAATAGATTTATTAAATGACTTCTTTTAATCAGTATTCAATTTCAATAAAGATTCAGAATTACTGAAATTCGAAGTAGGTACGAACATTAGGTGTAATGATATTATCATTGATGAAAATAAGGTGAAATATTAAAAATTTCCTTTCAAAAAGAATGCAATTAGTCATTTTAGGTGATTGTAAATCAGAATAGAAATTCATTTTAAGCGGAATACCTCAGAGTAGTATATAAGGACTCTTCTATTTATTATATTCATTAAAGACATCAACTCGTTTCTCCGCGCAGCGGCCTTGTTCGTCAAGGTTCGTGTTTCGGAGTTATAGAGTTGAGAGAGGGTTGTAGCCACAAAATAAGTAGCCTCCTCGTTTGTAGTGGCCTTCTCGGCCTTGTGGAGGTGAAGTAAAATAAAAAAAAAAAAAAAAAAAAGACATAATCCAAATCATATTAAAAGATCAATAAGAATCTGATGAAACAAAATTAATTATTAAAACAAAATTAATTAGCTGATGAAACAAAATTCAATTAATAAAATCTTTAGAAGACACAGTTTACAAAACACAGATGACATCAATGAATGGTCAAAGCGGTAATTAATATTTTTCAATTACAAAAAATGTGAAGTAATGGATTGTGATAAAAAAATTTAAATTTTAACTATACAATGGGTATAACTGTTAACAACCGAATCTTTTTATCGACAAGTGTACAACAAAAAGATTTCAGTGTTATAATATCATGTGATTTAAAAATGTATCAGGACCAGCATACAGTATTGGTGGAATAATAAGAATTAATTATAAATTAGGAAATATTACAAGTATATGATGAAAAACAATGAAATAGTTAAAAAAATAAAAATACCATACTTTGAATGAATTAAAAAGTACTGTTTAAAGAAAGACCTCTACAGTTGTCTTCCTATAAAACAAAACATAAAAAAAAACCTATATTCACAATGTTTCTTCTATGGAAGAAATCGTTAGTAACTTGATGGTGTTGACTTGGAGTTGTATATTATTTCTGGTATATAAAAAAATTAACCTTTCAAACCACATATAATAAAAAAAGAATAGAATAGGCATATGATTGCCAATAGGTATGAAAATTTAAGTTTTATCACCATGTTGTCTTTATCATGTAACTTAATACTATATATATATATATATATATACATATATATATATATATATACATATATATATATATACATATATATATATATATATATATATATATATATATATATATATATATATATATATATATATATATATATATATATATATATATATATATATATATATATATACCAATAGAAAGTTTTAACAATTAGGACAGACCAATTTTTGAATTGGGTGTTGCATGCACCCTGATATAAATATAAATATATATATGTATATATATATATATATATATATATATATATATATGTGTGTATATATATATATATATATATATATATATATATATATATATATATATATATATATATATATATATATATATATATATATATATATATATATATATATATACACACACACACATATATATATATATACACACACACACATATATATAAAAATTGATCTGTCCTAATTATTAAAACATTCTATTGGTTATCATAAGAAATTTTTTTCAAAGTTGAATAAGATTTAGGGGGGCCACCATAAATCTGAAATTTGCAACAAAACGCAAAAAAAGTTTTTTAAATGTATGTCATGTTGGGTCTGAAATAAAGCAAAATTTTAAAAAATTTCAAAAATAATAAGCCTTTTTTGTTAAAAATATCTTCAAAAAAAAAATTTCAACAAAAACCATGAAAAAATTGTTTTTTTTTAATTTTTTGTTAAAAAATGATAATTTTTATGCTATGAAACTTAAAATAATAATTCTTGTATACATTTTTTCTTATTTTTGAAATTTATTTTTTGAAATATATATATATTTTTTCAAAATCTTAGCTTCCAACAAGCAGCCACTATTAGAGTTGAAAGTTACTGAAAGAGAAAATATGAAGTTTATAGAGTAAGATAACAATTGACAGACAACTTGAAAGATTGAAAATTAAATAATTCAGGAAAGCAAGATGAAGGAAGCAAATTCCAAAGAATTGATATTCGAGGAAAAAAACTAATCGAGTAAGAGTTTTTGGAGCATTTAGGACACAGTAAAAAGATTTATAGATATAAAGAATCTGGAATAAAAAAGTAACAATCGTGATAAAGAGATGCAACTTTAGCCAATCGTGATAAAGAGATGCAACCTTATGCAAAAAGTAACAAGTAAAAGAGATGCAACCTTAGCCAATGCTAATTTATAAGATGCACCTTAGCCAATGCTAATTTATAAGATGCACCTTAGATGCACCTCAGCCAATGCTTTACAATAGATTTAATAAATGGTTTCCAAGAGAGATTGAAAGTAGGAGTTAATCCTAGAAGAAGATGACTCATCAAATACATTACCATTCATAAATATAGAAAGATCTAGATTATTGCTACAATGATTAGGTGAAAAAAGTTGAGTTTTATCTGAGTTAAAGTTCACCAGCCACTGAGAGCCCCAAGCTGTAGCAGAAGTGAGATCTTTTTCAAGCTCAAATGCCCCTTCCAAACAATCAGTGAATGTTGGCTTTTTATCAAGACAAGAATAAATGGTAGTATCAACAGCAAAGAATGCCACCACAGATGTGAGAATTTCTGGGAGATTGTTAATATAAATTAATAAAAGTATGGGACCAAGGATAGTACCTTGAGGAACCCCTAAAGTTACAGGAAATGAAGAGTGCTGTCCATTGAGGACAACTTTTATACTACGATTGGTAAGGAAGGATTCAATAGTCTTAAAGATGTTACCTGATAAACTTTAGGAAGAGAGCTTATAAAGTAGACCAGCATGCAAAACTTTATCAAAGACTTTAGAAATGTCAAAAGTGATAGCCTTCTCCACATCTATTTAACCTTAAGTAATAAACCATACTTAATAAAATATGGTTTATTAATTAAAATGATAAATATTTATTTTAAATAATTATCATGAATATTAAAACTTTATATGAATATTAAAACTTTATATGAATATTAAAACTTTATATGAATATCAAAACTTTATATGAATATGAAAACTTTATATGAATATTGAAAATATTATTTGTAATGAAAAATATTTTCACTAAAAAAAAATATTTATCATTAGTAGTTCAGAAAAATCTCCATAATGCTATTTTTTCATTTAAATATAGCATTATCAAAGAGTTGAAACAATTTTTTAGAATGCAACTCCTGTTGATATTTGTCACTTTAATGATTTAACAGAGGCACAAAAATTTTATGAACTTTTCAAGAGGAATAAAAATTCGAACATTTACATATATCTTTATTCTAAATGGAGCTTTTTTGGTGCAAACCATAAATGCACGAAAAACATATGATCTACAAAACTAAAGCTTACATTGTGTTACACTAATTAGGGTTGAGATTTCCACTTAAAACGATAAAAAGTAAAAACGGTAGTGTAACACAGAGCATGTTACAGTATGGTACATTAATGCTCTTTCATACATTTACCATTTATACCGTAAAAGCTCAAAACTAATTCGAATGAATGTCTTTCTCTAAATACCATAGCAGGGCCGGTTTTAGCTAGTTAGAGACCCTAGGTAAAATGAATTCAGTAGCCCAATTTAAAAAATAAAAGATAAACTATTAGCCAAGTGCAAAAAGTCAAAGGACAAAAGTCCTAATGAAATTGTTTGCGGGGGCTTATTCCTGCCTCATTCAAGGTAAAAATTTTTAGAATTTAAACCAAAAAGTTACAAATTTATTGTGATTCTCTAAACATTTCATGTACATTGTTTATCCCAAATTTTGCAGAAATCAGATTTTTCACACCAGCGATTTCAAATTCATAACTGTTTTTGGAGCAAACATTTTGCACAGCATTTAAATATTGCGCTCGCAGATGCATATGTGAGAGCAATATTCAATTTTGCACTAAATTTCATCAAATCATTTTGGTGTAACTCTCGATTTTTTTTTTGATGTTGTCGGAAATCCAAGTGTTGCTTTGATATTGTGCAGAAATCAAAAGAGACTTAAGTGACATTCCATTTGCTTGAAATGTGTAGTAAAGGATATAGCTGCTTGATCTAATAAAACATTTAAAAAAAACCTTCAAATTTTTTCTTTTCAATCTGTCAATGATTCATCTATGCTTTCATAAACAAACTTTAGCAATTTCTTTCTTATCAAGCTTATGGCAACTAGAAATAAGATTTTATCTGGTTCTATTTCTAACTCTTGAGCAAATTTTCATTACTGCGTTGATGCATCAAACAAAAAATAAATTTGATGCAAAAACTCTAAAGGTGTTATTGCAAAGACTGAAGATTTCACCATGTCTCCAAGAATTTGATTAAGACTGTGACATCCAAATACCACATAAAATGATTTCAGTATGAGTTCAAGTATGTTACACCATGATTGCAGCTTTTCACATCGCATCCTTTGGCCACTGCATTTTGATCATGATTCCAATTAAAATAAATAATACATAATTAATAAAAAAAATTGTTTCTTTTTTTTGGATTCTGCTTTTTATAAATTCATTCTCAAAGTAAAGTTAAATGATTTTTAAAATTAAAAAAACTTATATTTCTTTTAATTGTTTTTACTTTATAATTGTCATGACAACTCTCAAAACTGTAAAAATTTCTCCTTATATTTAATTGTAAAAATTTAAATGACTACAGTGTTCACAACAAGCAGCTCAAACAAGCTCTATAACCACATGCAACTTAAACAAGCTTGGTCATAACAAGTAAAGAGACGGGAAAAGTTGTGGTCCTCAACTACTTATTTTTAGCCTTTTTAGTGTTTAAAAGTTATTTTTTATTAGGTTTTCTATTTGTTTTTAAAAAACTTTCTGAAAAAAGCAAAATATTAGTAAACAATAAAAACGCAATTAATTTAACTTAAGGAGTTTTTACTTTCTTTATTCAATGAATCGTTATTATGACTTGGATAATTATAAATAATATAGACATATATATGCTTAATAAATATGTTAACAGATCATTCTAAATTTTACCTTTAAAGACAGTTAGCACAATCTTTTTCATTTTATTTCTAAAATATTTAAAAAAAAAATCTTTCAACTGAAGTATAAAAAGTGCAACTGAAAATCATTGCAAGTTAATTCTTACTTTATTGCTATTAACTCTAAAATTTGCATTAAAAACTTTCCCACTCCTTTGCCACGAATTCGATCATCCAGTTGGATTTCATAACTAGAAAATAGATTTTTTTAAATAAAGCTTAACATTCAAAAACAAGACATACATTTATTATTTAAAACAAGCACGGCATTTTATACAACAAATTGGAAAACTTAAGATTTTTATAGATAAGCATGACAACAAATTCAAAAATTTGAGATAATTGTGTTGTGATGTAGATAAAATTAGTTACCTAATTTTATCTACATCATAAACTAATTACCTAAATTTTTATTTAAACTAAAACGAGTTAATTAGATTCATGAAAATATTTGCAGCTTTTCTTTCTAAAATTCATATTTGACTTAAGTTACAGCTGTTTGACATAAGTTACAGTAGCTTGACTTAAATTATTTATACAATAATAAAAAAAACATCATTTACTAGATTTGCAGAAAATAATTGTGATAAATATTTTTAAAATTTAATTGGATAAAATAAAACAAGGATTTTTTAAATTTCTTATTTTGAATAAAATTAAATTATATTGGAAGAAAGTAAAAACAACAGCAACAACAAAAAAACAGCAGAAAATTTTAAATGGTTATATACATGAACTACAAGTACATACAAGTTGTTTACTCTATATTTAAAAAAACTCATAATAGTGTCATTATCAGGGCTGAGCAGGTGTTGAATTAGAATAAAAAATTAGTTAGGCTACCAACTTATAACAAATACAAGTCTCTTACAAAGATATATGAATCTGTGTATTTTAAAAGGGTGGAAGTCAAATATTTTACAAAATTGACTTTTTTCAAATTTGTATATTCAAAAGATAGCTCCATCATTTTGTGTTAAAAAGGTGTCTGTCAAAAGTTTTCTCTAGCCTGTACAGTGTCTAAAAGTTTTGGTTTTTTGTTAAAAGGGCTGAAGTCCAGACTTCAGCCCTTTTAACAAAAACAAGAAACTTTGAGCTGAAGACAGCGGACCAAACGTAACCTCACTTTGTTGTTTTGAAAGTGCAACAGTGTGGTGAATAAAGTTGATTTATTACGTTTGATCATTTTAATGATAGTGGGTGATAGTGGTAGTGAGTCTGATCATACAAGTTATAAAAAAAAGATAAGAAACCCAGATTATAGATGAAACAAGATTAAGAAATCTAGGCTTAATGGTGTGGAATATGAAAACTACAGGGGACAAAAAGGTGACGCAAAGTCTATCGGAGATCCATGCATGTAAGAATAATACGCAATAATTCTTAATTTAATAATATGTCTATGTCAAATTGTAATCATTTGTCTAAAATTTGGCCAGATTTAGGCTCTGTAATTTATAGTTGGCCTATAGACCTAGGTTGTTGATTGCTTGTTTAGGTTGTAAATATTTGTAGGCTCAAGACAATAGAATGACATTTTTAATATAGTCTACAATCACTTATTGCATTTTAGCATGAACTCTATTTTTTTTCCTAGACTAGGCAACCTATAATTTTTTTTATAAAGTAAAATTACAACATAGTTTTTTTTTTCAGTTGTTAAAGAAAGTGTTTTGAATCTATTGGCAAAGACAACCTTGACATGATGCATTTATAAACTTCCACTGTTCAATACAAAAGATGAGCAGGATTTATTTTTACATGGCTTGGTTGTGTTACGAATAGTGAAAAAGAGGCCTGGTTCAAGAGATAGCAAGGGCAAAAGTTGTAATGCCAATGAAGATACTGTACAAAAAAGAAAAAGTAACGGCCGAAACAAAAAGAAATTTAAGTATCATGCTTTGATCGGAGATGAACAAGTACAGGTATGTGTTGTAGCATTTTTATCAATATTTTCTTTGTCAGAAAAAAGGGTTCAAAGAGTAAGGGTTCAAAAATGGATGGAAAAGCAGTTAAAGATTTGAAAGGAATACATATGAGTTACATTACCAGTCATGATATACTAGCTAAAGTATACGCTCACATAGACTTCTTTCCAAAAAAACTGATCCACTATGGCGGAAAAAGAAAGGTTTTTTTTTCATAAAGATTTGAACGTGAAGTTAATGTATGAACTTTTTATGAAAAAAAATGAAGGGGTAAAGTTTAGTTACAAGTCCTATTACAACTACTACAATGAGTACTTTTATTTATGTTTCGGGCAACATCAAGTAGACACACTGTTGCATATGCAAAGAGTTAAAGCTAAAGATAAAATCACCTCATCTTTATGAAGTTGCTAAGCAAACAGCAGTAACAGAGTTGGGAGTACATAAATGCGCAAAAATTTTTTACCAAGCCATAAAATAAGATGTACAGGGCGCAAGGAAAAAAAAAATGTAAATGTTTTGTCCATAGCAGTAGATTATATCCAAAACATTTCACTGCCCAAAGTATATGTGCAATAGTTATTTTACCTAAGGCAGTTAACAGTTAGTGTATTTTCTATTCATGATGTGAAGAGAAACGTTGCAACACTCTACCTTTATCACAAGGGGCAGGCTAGAAAGTCTCCAAATGAAACTTGCTCCTTTCTTTTGCACTACCTGTCTACCTGTCCTTAAGAGTATGACGAAGCATCCAAGAAATAAAAAAAATTATATTAAAAAGTAGTAATCAAAGAAAGTTTTTAGTGGTTGATGAGAGAGTTTATCTCTAGTTTACGATGTTAAAAGTTGGTCGCCAGTCCACTATAAAAGAAATGTTACCTCAATTGAAACAATGGGTAAACCCAGAAACCAACAAACTCAGTTTGCAATAAGCAAATTTCACCATTTTCAATACAATTGTGACAACATAGGTCAATGTAAAGCATTGTCAAACATACTTTTATGATGAGAAAAAATACTCAAAACAAAGTGAACCTGCCAGAACAGCTTCTTTACCTAAACAGAAAGGTTCCAATAAAATCTGCTAAATTGAATGATTTAAGAAAGTGTATTAAGTATTTCCCACATGATTATATTGACTTTTATAATGAACTACTGCAATTGCCTACAACAGAAAGCAACAATGAAGAAGCAGAAGATGTTGGGGGAAATGATTAAGCATAGCTGATAAAATTTCTATAATAGACCTTTCCTTATAATTTTTGTTAAAACGTATAAACAATTCATAAATACACACTTTGTGAAGATTTATTGCAGTTTGTGACATTATTTTCTATAGCCCAAAATTAAAATCATAATAAAATAACCAGTAATTGTTAAATTTTGTTAATTTGTTAAATTTTAAAAGTCCACAGTGTTAATTGGTTTATAGGTTCTTTAAAAATGAATATAAAAAAATATATTTTTGCTTTTAAGATAAAAAATATTATCCTCTTCAAATAAAAAATTGTTAAATCATTAACAAAAATTTACTGAGGAAGCAGCGCTTTTTTTTTTTAATTTCCAGAAAGTTTACATTGTTGGACTTCCACCCTTTTAACATTCACCGATTCATATAATACAGCAACCCTCAGAATTAGGAAAAATAAGGTTGGCAATAAATTGCCTACCTCAAACTGTTAGAGATCAGCATCAGGTCAGCAAAAAAATTTGATGCAAAGAAGTGACCATAAACAAGGTCGACGGTTGGCATTGCTGAATGCCGATCCTAATTCTGAGGACTGATATAGATCTGAGGGTTGATATATATATAATATATAATATAATATAATATAATAAAATAGATATATAATATAATATAGAGATAAAGATTTAACTGAAAAAAAAAAAGAATGACTTTGATGTACAAAGATTTTCTTTAACTTTTGTTTAAGAAGCTGCAAAATTTTAGAATCGAGAAGCTGCCAAATTTTAAAACTTTACATCCCAAGATAATTTTGTTGAAATTATAAAACCCTGTGATGGGTGGGAATTTCATAATGATCATGAAAACCTGAAATAACTGGCATTTGTTGATTAGTTACCTTAAGCCATCTGCAGAAGTTGAAAAAAAAAATTCATAATTTAATTTTGTACACTCAAACGTTAGAAATCAAAATTTTTCTATTCATTTATTTAATCTGAAAACAATGAAATTAAAGGGTTTATTGAATTGAACTTTTGATAATTTAAAATTTAATTAAAATAAAATCTTTTTATAATTATGCTGAACTTAATAGTCCCATTCAAGCGTGTTTGATACAAAACTCTTGGCAGTCATTGCAACCTAATGGTAATGGCGAGACACAGCATTTTTTAATAAGAAAACATGAACAAAAGTGCAAACAAAAAAAGTAAAAATATCTTCAAATAATGTAATGTTAAAACATTAAAACATATTTCAAATTTTACAGTTTTACTCTTTCTTAAAAATTGCGACAAATTGCATTGTGACAGCATCTCTTTAATTTTAATCTAAAGCATTTATTACCATTTCATAAAGACTTTTGTTTGTTAATTAGTTTTAAATTTTTGTCAGCCAACACGAGTGTGTGGTTGAGTGGTTAGCTCGCAGAGTTTCTGAAGCAAAACGCTGAGGTTTGAACCATACTACTGGAACCTTTTTCTTTATAATTATTTTTGATTTTTCTAAAATACGAAATAAAACACTTTTAAAGTTTTAGACATAATATATAGCATATGTAAAGATACACTATAACAAACAAAAGGGAGAGAATTTTCAAAAAAGTTTAAAATTTTAATAAAAACAAAATACTTGGAGAAATTTGTAACATAATATGTCATGATAGAGATACTTATGTTATTTTAGTTTTCCATTTAAAGTTTTCTACAACTAACTTGAGTTAGTGCAAGGAAAAGGGTTATATAGAGTATATATATATAGAATATAAAATCTATTGAACTATGAAATTGTTATGTTTTGCATTTTAAATAACAAATATTTTAGAAAAATCAAGCAGATGATTTGAACTTGCCATGTGCCTTTAAAAACTTATAACTACTTTACGGACTTTAAAAACAGTAAGGGAGTGTAAAAAAAGTATATTTTTAATAAGAACATAATTGAAAATGCTAATTTTATGTTTAAAATAAAACATTTTATTTAAGTTATTTGTATTTATTTATATAAAAATAATAAAAAGTTAAAAATGCTTATTATCAAGATAATAAGGAAATTTGGAGGTTTCCAGCTATTTTACAAG